TGGCCTTTATATTTAGAGGACTGGAGTATAAGCATGCAGACGTTACGCTGCAGTGTACAAAACCCTGGGTAAACCCCCCGCCCCGGCCCCAAGTACTGTGAGCAGATTTTGTGAGCAGACCACATCTTAAGAAGGATAGATTGGCCTTGGAGGGAGTACAACATAAGTTTACAAAAATGATACATGGACTTCAAAGGTCATGAGGAGTGATTATACAAATTAGTTTAAAGGGTGATCTAATTGAAGTCTGAAAGATATTAACAAGAAAAAGAAGGATAGATAAAGGTCAACTATTTGGACTGTTTGGGGATTCTTGATGTTTGGAACTCTCTTCTTCAAATGGCAGTGGATTCTGGTTCAGTTGTTAATTTTAAATCTGAGATAGATAAATTTTTATTAAGCCAACGTATTAATGGATATCGGCCAAAGGTAGATGTATGGAGTTAGGCCACAGATTAGTCATGATCTCATTGGATAGTGGAACAATCTCAAGGAGTTGAATGGTTTACTCTTGTCTCTGTGTTCCTGCATACCACATTCTGAGGAATGCAGCCTTGATGTCAAGGGCTGTAACTCTCACCTTACCTCTGGAATTCAGCTCTTTTGTCATGTTTGAACCAAGGCTGTAATGAGGTCAAGAGATGAGTGGTCCTGGCAGAAACCAAACTGGGCGTCACTGAGCAGGCTATTGCTGTGCAGGTGCTGTAGATGGGACCTCCCATCACTTTACTGATGATCAAGAGAAGATTGATGGAGCGCTAATTGGTCTGGTTGGAATTGTTCTGCTTTTTGTGTACAGGACATAGCTGAGCAAATTTCCACATTGCTGGGTAGATGCCAGTGTTGTAACTGTATTGGAACAGCTTGACCAGGGGTGTGGCAAGTCCTAGAGCACAAGTGCGAGGTGGTTTCATTTCATTTTTGAGATTTCCTAGCAATTGTTACAACTGAGTCAACCACATTGCTGTGGGTCTGGAATTTACTTCCCTAAAGAGCATAAATGAACTAGCTGGAGGTTTTCCTGATGAATAAGAATTCTCAATTCTACCATTTGCTGTGGCAAGATTTGAACTAGGGACCCCAGAACATTATCTGGGTCTCAGGATTAATCCAGATTAACCATCACCTCCCCTTCTCACCATACCTTCATTTAAGTATCCATTCACCCATTAGTGCATTCAGTTAATTGAAATGTATTGCAGCAGAATAATCTTACCAAAGCACATTAATTCTTCTAAATAATATTGCACTGTCTTTGTAAAAAAAATCAATTTTCTATCACAGATGTGATTCTCATTAGTGTAGCTCATTGTCAGATCATTTGTTACATTGCTGAGGGTGACAACGCCAGATAATTTGGGATGGGATTGGATTGGGATGTGTGGAGTGAAATGCTGTCACAGTGAACTTCAGAAATGCAACCATACTGTTGCTCCCAGAACAATTTGGACGAGTTTGTTCTCTCCACCAAGGCTGATTGACCTGCTGTAAATTCCTAGCACTGTCTGCTTTTGTTTTCTTGCAACTCTGTGGTCACAGGGAGATTTTAAATTGAGACTAAACTGTATCTCACAACAAAAGAGAGAAGGTCAGAGGCAGAATTTTGCACCTCACACCCACATAGCCTTTCAGAGGAGCTGAATTAATAAAAGCTTAAGCTCAGCTAGCTATTTCAAATAGTAGAACACAGCATGGATAGAATGGGTGACAGGTGCTGGAATTATAGGCAGAGTTTAAGAAATAGAAAGTTTGTTGGATTATTTACAGTTCTGTGCCTTTCCATATGCCTGAATAAATCTTGCCGGTGAAGTATTTATTTGTTAGACACTTTTGACCCATACTCTCTGTTCCTAGGGGTGGCACAATGGCTCAGTGGTTAGCACTGCTGCCTGCAAAGCACCAGGGGACCTGGGTTCAATTCCACCCTCAGGCAACTGCCTGTGAGGAGTTTACATGTTCTCCCCGTGTTGGCGTGGGTTTCCTCTGTGTGCTCTGGTTTCCTCCCACAGGCCAAAGATGTACAGGTTAGGTGGATCAGCCATGGGAAATTGCCCATAGTGTCCAGGGATGTGTAGGTTGGGTGGATTAGCCATGGCAAATGTAGGGTTACAGGGATGGGGTAGGGGCAAGGGTCTGAACTTCAGAGAATCAGTGAGGACTGAATGGCCTACTTCCACACTGTAGGGATTCTGTGTTTCCTTTAACGTTTTACATTTGGTGTTGCAGTGCCTAAAATGGTTTCACCCTCACTATATCTGTTTCATTGTGACCTCCACATTTAGTGAAATACAGACCACTTTACTACAGGAAAGAACATTTTACCAGAGATAGTAGGAACTGCCGATGCTGGAGAATCTGAGATGACAAGGTGTAGAGCTGGATGAACACAGCAGGCCAAGCAGCATCAGAGGAGCAGAAAAGCTGACGTTTCGGGCCTAGGCCTGCTGTGTTCATCCAGCTCTACACCTTGTTATCTAAGAACATTTTACCAGCTGTTTTGTATGTGATGCATCTACAGTAGAGGCATTAGTGGTTCTTAAAGACCCAGAGGTGCAATAATTGCAGAACAAATTGTATAATTACTCTGGAAACCTGTTTTATTCATCAGACCAGTTGACTGTTCATTTTGTAATTTTCAGTTACTCATCTAAAAACTGGTTTGTAAATGGTCACCGAGTTTGGATACAAACCTCAATAGAAACTTCAACATTAAATGATTCAGTTATCTGACCGGATATATAACACAATTCATATCCTCACGATTCCAGTGACCAAATGCTTAACTCCACAGTGAAGTCTTTAGGTTGGGGAAAATGTCTGCTTTTAGCCAGAGATGAGTTCATTCTAAGGCAGGACATTAACTGATAGTACTGAGGGGAGACAAGGCAAAGTGAATGCTAAAATAAAGTATTTATATCTGTCCTATCATCCTAAACTTTGCTCCCAAGGCAGACAGTGGGCAGCACGCTGGTTCAGTGGTTAGCACTGCTGCTTCACAGCACCAGGGACCTGGGTTCGATTCCACCCTTGGGCAACTGTCTGTGTGGTGTTTGCACATTCTCCCCATGTTTGCATGGGTTTCCTCCGGGTGCTCCAGTTTCCTCCCACCGTCCAAAGATGTGCAGGCTAGGCGGATTGGCCCTGCTAAATTGCCCATAGTGTCCGGGGATGTGTAGCTTAGGTGATTAAAGGGGGATTGGTCTGGGTGGGATGTTCCGAGAGTCAGTGTGGACTTATTGGGCCGAAGGGCCTGTTTCCACGCTGTAGGGATTTTATTCTATTCTATTTTCTAAGACAACCTATTCTTAAAGTTTTCAAGAAGATTTGTAGCTCAGGTTGTGGATGAGGTTGTAGACTTGCTCACCGAGCAGGTGTATTTGATTGCAGACGTTTCGACACCCTGCTAGGTAACACAGTCAGTGCGCCTCCGGTGAAGCGTCGGTGTTCTGTCCCGCTTGTTATTATATGCCTCAGTTTGCTGGGGCGATGGCTATTACTTCTGGTTCTGTTTCTCAGTGGTTTGTACACAGGGTCTAATTCAATGTGCTTGTTGATGGAGTTCCAGTTGGAATACCAGGCCTCCAGGAATTCCCTGGCGTGTCTCTCTTTGGCTTGTGCGATTACCAATGTGTTGTCCCAGTCAAATTCATGTCCGTCATTGTCCGTGTGTAGTGAGACAAGTGAGAATTGGGTGTGTCTCTTGATGGCTAGCTGGTGTTCATGTATCCATATTGTCAGTTTTCTTCCAGTTTGGCCTATGTAGTGTTTCTCACAGTCCTTGCATATTACCCCAGTTTTGCTGGTTTTGGGTATGGGATCCTTTACGTTCGTCAGTAGCTGTTGTAGGGTGGTTGTTGGTTTGTGGGATACTCTGATACCTCGGGGGTCTGAGTAGTTTTGTGGTCATCTCTGAAACGTCCTTGGTGTACGGTCGGGCGATTAGTGAGTCTGGTCGTGTTGTGTCTTCCTGTTGTGGTCTGTCTCGGAGGTAATGGCGGATTGTGCTTTTTGGGTATCCATTTCTTTTTCATACAAGTGCCCCTGTTCTGCTTTGTGTTGTTCCGGGTTGCAACAATGTGTTGTGGCTCATTTAAATAGTGTCCTGATGCAGCTCTGTTTGTGGGCATTGGGGTGGTTGCTAGTGTAATTGAGTATCTGGTCCATATGTGTGGTCTTTCTACATACGCTAGTCTGGAGTTCCCTGTTGTTTTTGTGTTCTACCATTACGTCCAGGAAGGGTGGTCAGTTGTTGGTCTCTTCTTCTTTCGTGAATTTTATCCCGGTAAGGATGTTGTTTATGTGTTGGTGGGTTTCTTCTAGTTTTGTGCGTTTAATAATCACGAAGGTGTCATCTACATATCAGACCCAAAGTTTGGGTTGTATAGTGGGGAGCGCCGTCTGTTCGAACCTGTGCATTACTGCTTCTGCAATCAGTCCTGATATTCGTGATTATTAAACCAGCAAAATCGGGGTAATATATAAAATACCATGCAAGGATTGAGAGGATCACTACATAGGCCAAACCAGAAGAAAATTGACAATACGGATACATAAACACCAAGTCGCCACCAAGAGACACGACCAATTCTCACTTGTCTCACTACAGACGGACAACGAGGGACATGAATTCGACTGGGACAACACATTGATAATTGCACAAGCCAAAGAGAGACATGCCAGGGAATTCCTGGAGGCCTGGTATTCCAACTGGAACTCCATCAACAAGCACGTTGAATTAGACCCTGTGTGCAAACCACTGAGAAACAGAACCAGAAGTAATAGCCACCACCCCAGCAAACCGAGGCATATAAATAACAAGCGGGACAGAACACCGACGCTTCACCGGATGCACACTTACGATGTTACCTAGCAACCAAACCCACCAGCTCGGCAAGCAAGTCTACACTCAGAATCCATTCTGTCATAAGCCAAACAAACCTTAAATGTTATTACAAACAGAAACCAATGTCTTTGCTAAAAGTTTGTGTTTTGTGTAATTTGAATTTTGTTTTGCTTTCATTTCTCAGAGCAAAATTATCACCTAAACAATTGCAAAAAGTTGGCTTTCTTGTTCAAACTTATCCCATACAACAAAGCCCTTGCAAAATACACTTTCTCTCAGGACTATAATCAGTCTGAACCCATGCTGTCACAGAATCAGAATGAGCAAAAGCTGAAACAGAATTGTGTGAATTCTGCTGCAAAACAGAGTCCAACACAAGAGAGAGTCTCAGAGGTGGACATCCAGACAGGTATTGGGATAGTAGAACCAAATCTAGTTTTAACGTAGCTTTTAGATGCTTTTAACCCTTCCTCCAAATAAATTTCCTTTTTACCTCCTAGAGGAGAATTGCTAGGTTACTGAACACTGATAAAAATCTGTCTTTAACTCAAAGTATAGGTACATGAGGTATAATTTGAATCTTTAGTACTAATTGACTATTTATGTGGGTGATGGATTTTGAGCAGAAGTCATGCTTCAGAGGAAGAGATCACAAACCTCTAAAAATTGCTTACAGGTTTCTTCTAAGTAGGATTTTGGCAACCTATTCCAAGGTTATGTTTTCCAGTTGGTACTGATCTTGTACAAATTCTTACTGTTTACAGTTTAATTCCTTTTTATCCTATTAAAGTGCAAATATTAGAGACAACTCTGGTAACAATACTTCAAGCAATTGCACAAGAACATAGCCAGCTGAAAAATGTACCATTCTGTCACTATCACTTGTGGGAAACTGTAGCTTGGGTATCGTTGTTTCAGCACCAGTTTCTAGCTCACTGATTACTTAATAGAAGTACACTGCATCAACGTTTTACTTCTAAATGAAATTTCTTACCATACAATAATGGGATTATTTGGTTTATCACACTCAACTCTTCACCTTGATGGTAAAAGGTACAGACTCATCAGTGCATTCATGTTTAAACTAATTGCTAGTCTTTGTAGTGATTTTGTTAATGGAAAACATTTCTTCTTGTTTAGTTGCAGCAAGGTGGTGGGGAGCAAAGAGGATTGACTATGCTCTGTACTGCCCAGATGCTCTAACAGCTTTCCCAACTGTAGCCTTACCTCATCTATTTCATGCAAGTTATTGGGAGTCAACAGACGTTGTTTCATTCCTATTGCGACAGGCAAGTCAAAAAATAAATTACTTAATACATTTGTATCACACCCTTCACACCTCATGCTTTATAGTCACTGAAGCACTTCTGAAGTGTAGTCATCAATAGAAAACTTTGAAGGCAGTTTGTGCATGGTAAGATCCCACAGTCAGCAATGTGATAAATTATTAGATCAATTATTTACATGTTACAGGAGGCATAAATGGTGCCAGGACGACAGAAGAATTCCCGTCTTTCTCATCAAATATTACTATAGATCTATAATGTCCATGAAAAAGGCAGAATGGGCCTCCATTTTCCACCTCATACAAGCAATGGTATTTCTGTCGGCTTAGCAATCTCTCAGTACTGCACTGAGGGTGTCAACCTGCATTATATTCTCACATCTGTGGAGTGGGGCTTTGATTCATGACTTTCTAAATGAGCAATAGTAGTGATATACTGAGTCAAGGTTTTGCCTTAGGTAAATTAAAACATGTTTCCAATTATAAGTCTGTGAAATTTTCCTCTGTTACCATTTTATTTTAACATGGACAGATCTGCAATTTAACATTCAAACACGATTTTAAAAGTAATTGAAATTCCCACAATAGAATTACGGTGGAAAGACGATGATGGAATTATAGAGAAAGACAAAAGACAAATACTGCGGATGCTGGAAATCAGAAATAAAAACAGAAAATGCTGGAAATACTCAGCAGGTCAGGCATCATCTGTTTAGAGAGAGATAGTTAACGCTCAGTTGATGCAGAAAGAAAGCTTGTATTTTTATATCATGTCTATCAAACCTTGGAAGGTCCTAATGTTTACCTTGAAATATTTTTGAATTTAGTGACTGTTGTAATGCAAGATAATGTGTAACATCTAATCACATGTACATTAGGTAATGAGACATGAAAATGCAAGTGTTCTGGAACTGGATGGGAAAGAGGTTTCTGTATTTAGTCCTTCAAAACCACGTGAAAAGTGGCTTCGCAAGAGGACGCAAGTTAAAATACGGGTATGAACATATCTTTGTTATGTTAAGGTGTCTGTTGTGTGTAATCTGCTTTGACTTTTTCTGGCAATTAATTGAACAGTCAGTATATGAAATAAATTTCCTTTTGGATATTGTTTCATACAGAATGTTACAGCGAATCACCGTGTGAGTGATGTTATTGTTACTGAAGATGGTCCTCAGACACTGACTGGGAGGTTTATGTACGGGCCCCTAGACATGGTTACATTAACTGGTGAAAAGGTGGGTATTTTTTGCCAAAGTTTATGATGCACATCACACACTCTATATAGGACTCACTTTGGGAAAGCTCATTATGGCATCAAGTTGAGGGTTGTTGAACAAGAAATACTCACCGGGAAACAGAGGCAGGTGCAGAATCCATAAAAGTTCAAAATAAGGAAGTGGAAAAATAACAAATTTAAGCAGTGCATGGGAGATGGGAGTAAGTGTTAACCCTTTCAGGGAGACAGCAAAGGGCAATAGGCTAACTGGTTCTGTTAGAAAATTATATGCTTACCAGAAAGCAGTGCCGGCAGATTCAAGAACAGTAAATCAACTGCCACACAATAGGTGTGTGTGAAAAGTCATGGTTCATAACAAAAGGGACAGTAGAAACATGGATACAATATTGGCTGAGTGATAGGAAGCAGAGAGTACTAGTCAATGGGTATCTTTGGCCTGGAGGGTTGTTTGTGGTGAAGTTCCCCAGAGGTAACTAATGAGACTCTTGCTTTTCCTGCATATATATCTTGAGTTTGATATGCAGGGGGCAATTTCAATGTTTGCGGACAATGCAAAACTTGCTTTGTAAACTGTGAGGAAAGATAGGTGTAGAACTTCAAAAGGACATTGACTGTTGGTGGAGTGGGAAAATAGATGGCAGGTGAGTTTCAATGTGTAAGGTATGAAATGATATATTTTTATGTAAAGAAAGCAGAGAAACAATATAAAGGGTTCCATTCAGAAAGATGTGCAGGAGTAGAGAAACGTAGGTATATCTGTGCATAAATCATTAAAGGTGGCAGGACAGGTGGAAAGAGCTGTTAATAAAGCATGCGGACCCAGATTTTCCAACAGTTAGTTGATGGTTATAGATAGGAGTTGAACGTTGGGACCCTGTGGAATCCCCATCACAACAGACTCTGAAGGAATTGTGCAGGAATTTGAAGATTCCACTAGGCAGTTCCCTGTGCCTGGAACCAACCAAAAGTGTCCAATTAAGTTAGAGGGTTCCAATGAAATTAAGTAAATAGTCTAACTTTTCTTGAATAACTATGAAATACTTAGTCCAAATTCCAAATAACTGTTCAACTGACTGTGTGTGTCGCTCATATGTCTCCAGCTACATCTCTCCCAGACCAATTACAACCCACGACCCTGATCTAACACTCATCACCCCCATTCCAAGATCTGACATCTCTGTTGTGGACCCCCTCCCTCCTTGGCACCCTATTGATCTGTCACCCTGGCACCATACCACTACCCACAGCACTCTATCCACCTGGCACTCTAACCTCACACCTTGTGTACTTACCATTTGACAATAGCTGTATAAGTAGCAGACTGTGATTCTCAGGCCTTTTCATTTCAGGATATGGCAGCTCCCTGCTGCAAAAAAAAGGTGAAATTTGCCTTCCCCTGACAGGCAGTGCTGAGAGATCTATCAGAATAAAAGCACACCACTACATTTCTGAAGGAGGCCTGATTGGAACCTCCTGTCAGAAACACGAAACTCTCTCGCTTTGTTTTTAAAAAATTGTGAGATTGCCACTCCTTGGAAAATCTGGCCCACATTGTTTCGGAGCACAGAGTACAAGAGTAGGGAGGTTATGCTGAACCTATATAAGATGCTGGTTACCCTCAGCTGGGGTTTTGTGTACAGTTCTGGCTGCCAGACTTCAGGAAGGATGTGAACACATTGCAGAGGGTACAGAAGAGATTTACAAGAATGGTTGCAGAGAGGAGTTACAAGGATAATTCGAAGAAGGCAAGGCAGTTTTCCTTGGAGAAGAGAAGGCTGAGATCTGATATAAGTTTTCAAAATAGTGAGGGTAATGGACAGAGAAAATAGGGAGAGACTGTTCCTACTCGTAAGAGGATCAAGAACCACAGGGCACAGATTTAAAGGGTATTCCCAAAGAAATAAATGTGAGATGAGTTTTAAAAACCTTTTTCTCACAGCAAATAGTTAGGTTCTGGAATACACTGCCTGGTAGAGGCAGGTTCACTTGAGGGATTTAGATGATTATTTAAATAGAAACAATTTACAGAGTTACAGGGAGAAGGCAGGAAATTGGTGCTAAGTTAAAATGTTCAGAGAGTTGGTGCAGATTCAGTGGCCCCTTACAGTCCTGTCATTCTGGGCTGGCAGCACTGTTGCTCAGTGGTTGACACTGCCGCATCATAGCGCCAGGGACTTGGGTTCAATTACATGATCTCCCCGTGTCTGCGTGGGTTTCCTCCGGATGCTCTGGTTTCCTCCCACAGTCCAAAGATGTGCAGATCATGTGGATTGGCCATGCTAAATTGCCCCGTAAAGTCCAGGGATGTGCAGGCTAGGTAGATTAGCCATGGGAAATGCAGGGTTACAGGGATAGGGATAGGGTGAGGGTTGGGTCTGGGTGGGGTGCTGTTCAGAGGGTTGGTGTGGACTCAATGGGCTGAATGGCCTCTTCCAGCACTGTAAGGATTCTGTGATACAAGAATGAAGCCCTGTAGTGGGTGAGAGAGGGGTCTTGTACTGTTAACATTGATAGCACTATTACTTGATTTGAAATGTCAGGCATTTTCATAGTGTGGCTATTATACTGTCTCTGTCGGTACTCCTCTTGTTGGTATGGTTCAACTATTCAGCAGCAGTGAGGGTTACTAACTCTGTGTTGCGGGTTTTCAGAAAGTGCATCCTCAAGCTGTTTGAGATGGCAATGAGATTGCTAGCATGACCCACTCCTTACTGAGCGTTTGTTTTACTGGCTGTAACATCCATAAATAGAAAGCATTTCTTGAGTAGCTGTACTGTCTCTCCCAGATCAAAGTAATCACACGTTCTCTTAGAATTGTACAAATGAGAGCCAACCCTGGGGGTCCCAGATTGAGGATGGCATTTCTGGCTAATCTGTACTTGCTTTTCCCACACTATAAGTCATTAATAAGTGACTATAAATAAGCACAGAGCCACTGGTTTGATGTTTGAACACCGTTCAACATATGTTTGTCCTTCTGCACACACAATCTTTAGATTTCAAACTGTATCTGCGTAGTCAATTGCAAGGCAGTGGTTCTTTGCCATGGTGCCTGCTTTATTAAGCAAAGTATCAGAAAGCCAAGTTTCTAACGTAGATGTTCCTTGTGGTCCCACAGGCCTGAAGAATGTGTTCACGTGTCACAGTTTGCACCAAATCCATTAGCAACCAGAAGCCACACACTGATAGAGTGATGATGTTGACTCAGTTGTACAGCATAAGAATTGTGCTATAGCCTTACCTGCTTCCGATTCTACTTTCAGCTTATGTGTATTAAATAGGAAAATAATGTCAGGATTGAGGGATGTAAACTGAATGGGGTACCCCCTGGAGTGAGATTTGAATACACATAGAGTCAAAACTGGTGCCATAGAGTCAGGTATAAGTTGGTCAGATTCCCAGTTTATACCACATAGGGTAGTTGGGAGAGATTAAACTGAGCATCCAAGGAAATACAAAAGAACAAGGACAATGTTTACACAAGACAAACTGCATCAGATGAAATTCAACCAAGATAAAGTGGAAGGTTTTACACACTGAATGTATGTTGTACAATCTAGAGCAGGAATTGAAAGAAATTGGGAAATGATTGACATCTTATGCACAAAGATAATCAATAAACCAAACTGAATGTTGGGCTGTATTGCTAGAGGAGTATAGTACAAATATGAAAACACTGTTCTAAAGTTATATGGAGCACTGAGCAGGCTAGAATGGATGGTGAAGGCCCAAGAGGCTGCTCTAAGAGTCCAGGCACTGAGGTGTAATTGATACAGACCCTTCATGCTTGAAAGGAGATACATATGAGGGGAGTGAATAAAAATATAAATAAATCTAAGTGACTACAAGTTCGGAGCATTGCTTCATGGGTACAGATGGTAAAAAATGTGTTAACACTAGACATGGAGAAAAACTTTTTCAACATATTCAGGTAACAGTTGGATAGTTTACTTTGAGACAATATGTGCATTAGCAGAGTAGAGTGAAGGAATCCCTCATCTGTCACTGCCCTTGTGATGGAGAGTTCATTGCTCCTCTCTCCATCCTCTGCCTTCTGCTTTGCAACTTCTGTCAGCATGACTCAGGGTCAAATCCAAGACTAAACCTGCTTTTCTTTATCAGGAAATTGATTTTTGAACATCCAAAGAGTTGGAAGCTCATTTTGCAAGCCCTGGCAATTTAGTCTTTACCATGGATTATATTGTATGGACCATGTGACCCAATCAGTCTCTCAGCAGCCTTCCACCAAAACTGAAAACAAAAGAATGATTTCTTTTAGGTTGTAAAATTTTGATGGGTGGAATGTTCCAGATCAGCATTTTCTGTATCCTGTCACTTCTAACTTGCATTCGAACTTCTCCTGTTTCAATGAAATTAAGGTTGACATATTCAAACTTCAGTTAGTATCAAAATCAAACCTCCCAAATTCCACCTAAGGAGGCCAGCACTCCCACCTGGTATACCAATCTCACCTGTTCTGTTAAAAATAGACTATTTATAGCCCAAAGTTTGAAGAGACTTCCGGGAGAAGGATTAGATAGTGACCCGCTAGTTTGACACACTAGTTTTACTGTTGTAGCTCACACTACATAGGGTAAAGTATGGAGTGGTTTTGAAGCTGTGTGAATAACCCATGCTATTTAGTAAATTGAGCACTGGGTTTATTGTTTCTAAATTCATTCCCAGAATGTGAACATTACCAGCAAGTACAGTATTTGTTTCCCATTCCTTGAAAGGTGATGGGTCACACTCTTAAATGACTGCACTCCATATGGATTTTTTAAACATTTTTTGATATGAATGAATGGCTTGCTTTTCAGAGAAACTTAAGATTTAAACACATTGCTTGTGGGCCTGGATTCTCATATAAACAAGAACTGTTACAGACAGCAGGTTTCCTTCCTTAAATAGGAGTGAACCAGTTGGGGTTTCACAACAATCTAAGTACTCACTTCATACTTTGTTTAATTCACTGAATTTAAATTCTCCAGTGCTATGCTGGGATTTGAACTCATTTCTCTCAATTATTTGGCTCAGCATCTGGATTACTAAATCTAGCAGTAGAACTACAATTTGACCATTCCCAAGTTGTACACATGAACTGCTTCTTCCTTCAAGAGCGTTCTTCACTGAAGAATGGCATCAAAATTACCAGGGGGTTAATTTCAGGAGCAGCTGTTTTGGGGCATGAAAATATAGTGGTGATGTTGCTAGATAAATATCACTAGTGGTGACCGTGAAACTACTGGATTGTCCTATAAACACAACTGGTTCACGAATGTCTTTACTCAGTCTAACCTGTATGTGACTTTAGATTCACAACAATGGGCTTGATCTTATTCTACATACATTAATACCAAGGGGCCTGTTCTGTACAAACAGAAAGAAAATGAACACAGACTACACTTGTTTCAACTCAACAAAATAGGTGGCACCTATTTGCTGGCTAATTTCTCAGGACTTTACCCTGACCAGTAAGATTCAACCTGCCTGGCTTAAAATTTAAACAAAGCCTGACTATTAACAGTCAATCAGCATTCTTCACTGCAATGCCTCTTATCTCCACTAACCAACCAATCAGCACTCTCCTCTTATACAATCTAAATTTTGGTTTTCCTCTTGTAGTTGTATTCTTGTGAAATGTCCTGATTAATGCTAGAGGAAAAGATTTGATAAAATATTGTTTTTCAGCAATAGTCAGATCATTTTGACCATAATTCATGATATCTCAGTCTGGAGTGGCCTGTGTTACTCAAGTAGGATTTTCTCAACATTATGTCAGGTTGGGGATCTTGGCTGTTCTCTTGGCTTTCTGTAATGCAGCCAGTGTCTTGAATAACTGAATGGCAGTAGAGGGAATTGTTGACTGACTACCATATTGTTGTCTAGTTCTGTCTGATCCTCTCATTACTGATCTTACTTCCTTCTATCCCATTGTGAAATCTGGTTCACTGCCACCAATAATCAGATAACTGGACTTTGAAAACCAGTAAATTACTTTGAAGATCAGTTTGAACCTCTCCATGCCAGCTTTGTAAAAGCTATTTTGCCAGTCAAGTCATATTAGATTATGTCTACGAGTGCCTTTTAATATTTACTTTGCAATTTCCCCACAATATAATTTTGTTCCTTATTATCTTTCAATAGGTGGACATTCATATTATGACTCAGCCTCCTGCAGGAGAGTGGGTTTATTTTGATACTGATATTACAAACAGCAGTGGCAGGATTTCCTACGTCATCCCAAAGGACAAAAGACTGGGAATTGGCGTCTATCCAGTAAAAATGGTGATTAGGTAATTGTGTGGGTTCAAATTTGAAAGTTGTTAGTCTGTCAATGTGCACAATTATGAACACTGCAGGAAATATATTTTCTTTGTACAAATATATTTTCCTCTGTATTTCTAAAAGGTTATATTGTGTGCTTTCTAAGTTGAAATAATTATCTAATTGATGCAGAAAGCTGATAAAGTCTTAGTTGTTATGATTTCAACTGATGGTATGACTGGACTAGTTATGGTCCCAAAGTAAAACCTGGCCTGATAGATTGTATGTTTCTTTTAGTTCATTAATGAAACATACATTAGCGAAACATACTCTCAGAAGCTGCATATTTTCTTTAACAACAGAAGTTTATTATGTAAAAGAAGTTTAAAAATAAACAAGCTACCTAAATATAGAAAACAATTAGCAAGGTATAAAACATACAGCAAAACAAAATTTTATCTGGTTTCCCAACCCTATTCATTACAGAGACTCAGTTGCAGAGAAATTATAACCTTCCTCACTGAGTCCTTTCCGAGTTTGTTGACGTGCTTTCCTCAAATCTAAGTCAAAACTTTCTCAATTCTAATAACCTGCAGATTTCTAAACAAACTCTCTGGTTTAGAAGCTTTATATTCTACGGAATGGTTCCCTGAACTCTGAGGGGAGAAACTAAACTTGCTTCTGCATTCAACTCTGGTGTTTTCTGAACTGAAGCAAAAATATTTAGAGTCATAGAGTTGGATAGCATGGAAACAGACCCTTTGGTCATACATGTACATGCCTACCAGATATCCTAAATTAATTTGGTTAAATTTGCCAGCCTTTGGCCCATATCCATCTAAACCTTTCCTATTCATATACCCATCCAGATGCCTTTTAAATATTGTAATTGTACCAGCCTCCACCTGCTTTCTCTAGCAGCTCATCCCATACACGTACCACCCTCTGCATGAAAAATTTGCCTGTCAGGTCCCTTTTAAATCTTTCTCCTCTCACCTTAAACCTATGCCCTCTAGTTTTGCAACCCCCACCCCTTCCCCCATCTTGGGGGAAAAGCCTTGGCTATTCACCCTATCCATACCCCTCATGATTTTATAAACCTCTGTAAGGTCTCCCCTCAGCCTCCGATGCTCCAGGGAAAATAGCCCCAGCCAATTCAGGCTCTCCTTATAGCATAAACCCTCCAACCCTGGCAACATCCTTGTAAATCTTTTCCAAACCCTTTCAAGTTTCACACCATCCTTCCTATAGCGGGGAGACCAGAATTGCACGCAATGTTCCAGAAGTGGCCTAATCAATGTCCTGTTACAGCCGCAATATGACCTCCCAACTCCTATACTGAATGCACTGACCAATAAAGGCAAGCATACCAAATGCCTTCTTCACTATCCTATCTACCTGGGACTCCACTTTCAAGGAACTATGAACCTGAACCCCAAGGTCTCTTTGTTCAGCAACACTCCCCAGGGCCCTTACATTAAGTGTATAAGTCCTGCCCCAAACATGTAACTAATAGTTTTAAATGTTTACCTAGCATAAAACCAAGTGAATAGTATCTTCCTGTGAACACCACAGAGGTCAGCAGACACCTAATTTATGAGAAATGCTCAATTTAAGCACAGTTCTCAAAGGACTCTCTGATCTTGTTTGTTTAAAAGGCCCTTCACAGAAGTTAAACATTTCCTGTCTGCCTCTATTTTGAAATTTACATTCTAAAAATTATTTTAATGAATATATATAATTCATCTTTTATCACACAGTATAGAATATTATGAATACATTCCAGCCCTGATGAAATGACAGCTTGATTTCCGAAGCTATTAGCAACGCTTCAATATGAAATAAAATTTGCCAATTTTAGCAGGTTCCTAAGGCACAAAAACACTTGTCCACGTTATGGTGCTAATTTTCTACCCTCTGATCATTCATTACTGTGTCAACCATTGCTGAGTGATAGCACACCTATCTTTGCACTTGTAAATTCACAGATTCAAGCCAGAATTCAGGCTGACATATCAGTACAGTACTGTGGAAGCACAACACTGTTAGAGACACAGTTTTCATCACATTAAATAGTTAATACAGCTTTAACAAAACACTAGCTAAACGATTATACATGAAAAGGTATGTTAAATGCAAAATAATGTGTTTTGTTTAATAGGAACGGCTTGACAGAGGGTGAATTTGTAAATAATTAATTTAAAGCCATTCTGCAAGCACTGTTGTGGTGTGAACTTGCTTTGGTTGTGAAAAGGACTTTCTTTATACTTTTTACCTAGAGGAGATCATACATCTGGAGATAGCTATATAACTGTTCTGCCAAAAGGAACAGAGTGCGTGGTGTTTAGTATTGATGGATCATTTGCAGCCAGTGTCTCCATTATGGGCAGTGATCCCAAGGTCAGAGCTGGAGCAGTCGATGTTGTAAGGTAAATGTCAATAATTGCCCTTAACTCGCAGCCACTTAGTGAGTATATGTTCCTGCATTAACAGTAGAAATATTGTTCACATGATACCAAAGCTATGAAATTATTATGCAACATTTGGCTTGCAAACAGTCTATGGTTCTGAACATTGTAAATGTGTTTGTTCTTGCTAAAGTGTTGGCAGATGGTGGAATTTGAATTCAATACAAAAAACATCGAATTAAGAGTCTAACGATGACCACGAAATTGTTGCCGATTGTCAGAAAAACCCATCTGGTTCACTAATGTCCTTTAGGGAAGGAAATCTGCCACCCTTAGTGTCTGGTGTACGTGTGACTCCAGACCCACAGCAACGTGGTTGACTCTAAAATGCCCTCTGCGCATTTAGGGATGGGCAATAAATATTAGCCTACCTAATGATGTGCACGTCCTGTGAATAAATAAAAATAAATATGTGCATTGATCATGAAGAATAAACAAAATACTGCAGATCCTAGAAATCTGAAACGTGAAATGTTGGAAATGTACAGCAGGTCAGTATTAGTTGTGAAGAGAGGAATGAGAGAGTGATATACATTGAGGACAGATCAGCTGCCCAGGAATTGTGGACGGGTATCAGGATGCTGAGAAAAGGTTCAGTTAGCATCCTGAGCCTATGTGTTGTCAGTGTGTAACTTTTCAGAGGTGGTGCCCTCTGCAATGGCTTAGCTGCCCAAGGCTGCAGGCCCAATAAGAGGGCCCACAATGATACCAGGCCTTTAGCCCCATCCAGAGAGGTTGGCATTGCTGTGGCAGGCTGGTGGGTGTAACAGAGGTTATCAGCTAAACAGCCTGAAGTCAGTCAGGACAGTAGCCCTCCACAGGGCTTTCATCCCTGTACGCACGTTGTCGGGCTATGGAGCCTCTGTCTCCAATGGTCCATCGACCTGCTGCTAGGAAGCTGCCTCAGTTGAGTCAGTGGCCTTTGTGTGGATTGGAGAGCTGCTTGGGGCATCAGTAAAATGTCAGTGTTGGGCCTTTTTATGCAGCCTGAACTGGACCAATTGGATACCTATCTCCATGAACTGTCAGTCAACCTAGTTGCCTTCCTGTCCACCCCTTGGAAAATTTCCCAAAGTAGCAATATCAGAAAATTGACCTGACACGGACCCGCCCTGCTCGTGCCACAGAGCTGGGAACATCCTCTGTTCATATCTCTGTTTCTCTCACTGCAGAAGCTGCCTGACCTGAGTATTTCCAAAATGAATGTAATTTTGATCAAATATTTTTGTTATTAGGCACAAACATTTTGCATTTGCTCCATTTAGGTTTGATTCATTTGAGTGTTACAGTACCTTAGAGTAATACAACAGGTGGAACTTGGATGACACTCCTGTAGCCATGTTACATGGAATTAATAATAGAATTTTAACATCAAATTTGTTTGGAAGTAAATACCTCCCACACAATGTAAGTGAATATACTTCACACATGCACATTTTTGAAGAAACATCCATCAACACTCAGTAACTAAGAAAATGAAACATTCAACAATTAAAAACAACAATAGGAAAATTGCCCAGGTATGTCCTGTATACAAAAAGCAGGATAATTTAAACCTGCTAATTACCGCTCCATTAGTCTACTCTTGATTGTGAGAATTGGAGTAGAAGGTGCTATTAAGCAGCACCTGCTCGGTGACACCCAGTTTGGGTTCTGCCAGGGTCTCTCAGTTCCTGACTGCATTACAGACAGTCCCTGGGTTGTGAATGGTTCCATTCTTGAGTACATATGCAAGCTGACTTTTTTCCACATCGGAATGTAATGCAGGACAACATAAAATAGCCGTCCATAATTACAGGAAACATTCGGATGTCAGATCTTTAAAATAACATTACTATATGAGCTAATGTTCATAAGTACAAGGGCTTGTAAGTCGGAGGTTCGTAACTTGGGGACCCCAGCCTTGGTTCAAACATAAAATAATGAATTCCAGAGGTGAGGTTATAACTGTACTGAAATAGCTTGGCTAGGGGAGCGGCATATTTTGGAGCACAATTCTTCAGTACTATTGCCGGAATATTATCAGGGCCCATACGCTTTGCAGTATCCAGTACCTCCAACCATTTTGTGAAGTGAATCAAATTGCCTGAAGACTGGCATCTCTGATGATGGGGACCACTGGAGGAGGCTGAGATGGATCATTCATACAGCATTCTGGCTGAAGATTGTTCTGAATGCTTCAGCTTTATGTTTTGCACTGACATGCTAGGCTCCTCCTTCATTGAAGATGCAGTTACTTTTGGAATCCTGTCCAGTGAGTTGTTATTCAGTCACCATTGATGGTGTTTACAGGAGGAGAGGAGAGTGGGATGGAAGGCATCATTCCTCTGGACAGAGCAGAGATGTTCCATGAAGTGGTCTCCCAGTCTGTGATTGGTCTCTCCAATGTAAGGGAGACCACATGGGGAGCAGTGAGTCTGTGGTTGGTGTCTCCAATGTAAAGGAGACCACATGGGGAGCAGTGAGCCTGTGATTGGTCTCTCCAAAGTAAGGGAGACCACATGGGGAGCAGTGAGTCTGTGGTTGGTCTCTCCAATATAAGGGACACCACATGGGGAGCAGTGAGAGCAGTGACTGGATTGGAAGAAGCAAAAGGAAATCACTGCCTCTCCTGGAGGGTGTGTTTGGCACCTTAGACAGTGAGGAGGGAGGGAATGTGCAACTGTTGCACCTTTTGTGATTGCACAGGAAGATGCTGGAATGCTGACAGGGGAAGAGAAGTGAAGGGAAGATGTGTTTGGTCGTGGTGTCCTTCTGGGTGGGTTGGGGGTTGGAAATGGTGGAGTATGATCCTTGAATGTGGAGACTAGGGGGGAGTGGAAAGTGAGGATAAGGGGGACTCTATCATTGTTCGGGGAGTGCAGGAATGAAGGATACGGGTTGGAGAGCCATGTTAACCTTCAATGGGGGAAATCTTCAGTTGAAGAAAAGTGAGGACATGTCAGAGGTGGTATGTGGCATCATTGGAACCGATGCGATGGAGGAAGTGGGAGAATAAATGGAATCCTTACGAAAGCAGGGTGTGAGGTTTGTTTTAGATATTAGTGGACTGTCCCCAAAAATGGAAATGGTCAAGCTGAGGAAGAATCAGAGATGGAACAGGGAGGATGGGAGAGTATGTGATGCTCATCCAATTTTAATTAGTGGCTGTGCCTTCAGTTGCCTGGGTCCTGCACTCTGGAATTCCATCTCTAAACCTCCCCACTAATCTCTGCCTTAAGCCACTTCATAAAACCTGTGCCTTTAATCAAATCTTGGTCATCTTTCCTCATATCCTCTCCTCTCACTTGGTGTTGAATTTTGTTTGACATCAGTCCTACTTTGTGAGTTCAAAAATTTTATTTCATTAAAGATGCTGTAAAAGTTCTTGTTGGCTGAATTTGTGGCCATTGTATCTTCTCCAGCTCAACTAATAGAGGTCATAATAAATTAATGAGATTGTCACAGATCTCAACGAACAACATTCTGAGGCATGTCCGCAAAAAAAAAACAAAACTCTGAATTAGGTACAAGCTGTATATTAAAAGAAAATTCAACTTGAGAATTTAGAACGTAATACTGATCATGTTGAGACTTGTGAAAGTAGAACCTTTTAACAGCAATCCTTAATCAGCTGTTGTGTTCACAGACACTGGCAGGATCTTGGCTACTTCATTATATATGTAACAGGCCGTCCCGATATGCAGAAGCAAAGAGTGGTGGCTTGGCTGGCTCAGCATAACTTCCCCCATGGAATCGTCTCCTTTTGTGATGGACTTGTCCACGACCCCCTCAGGCACAAAGCCAATTTCCTTCGCAGCCTCGTGCAAGAAGTAAGCATTTTAGTTTTTAAATTTCATTGCATCTCATCTAATGCCTGAATTATTGATGATCAGTTCTACTTTTATCCTTGTTCAACATGTTTTTGATTAAACTGTGACTAATAATTTAATATTTCAACACCCAATGTCTCCACAACTATTAATCCCGCTATATACGCTTTAAACCTGCAGGTGTCCATGAAGATTCATGCAGCGTACGGATCCACAAAAGATATTTCGGTTTACAGTTCTCTCGGCTTATCACCATCACAGATCTACATTGTAGGCCGCTCGTCTAAAAAGTACCAGCAGCAATGTCAGGTAGTGTTTCACATTGTCAAAATATTTTGAAATGGATAGTTTTATTTAGGTTATAGTAATCACAGGCATTGTGCTGGAAGTACAGGCTGATTTCAAGTCAGGACTGCAGTAGTCAGCAGCTTATCGTATGTATCAGCAATGTCCCAGAGCACTTGGAGATAAATAGAGCAATCTGTTTATGTACAGGAAGTTCTCATAGACAGCATTGGGTCAAATGACCTGATGATTGGTTTTCTCTTTCGGTGACACTGACTGAGAAAGAATATTTTCCAGGACAGCAAGAGAACCTCTTTGCTGTTATTTGGATAGCACTGTGAGATCTTCAACCTTCACCAGATAGGGCCCACATCTAATGAATCACCTGAAAGATGGCATCTCCGACACTGCTGCATTCTCTCGCGCTGAGCTGGTGTCAGTCAGCTTCAATGATGTGCTCATGTCTGTTGAGTTAAACCCACAACCTGGTGACTTAGGAGCAAGAGGGTTCCCTTGAATCAAATGTTGTTGAACTAATTTTTCCTATCATATGATTGAGGCTACAATTCCGTGCTTAGGTAGTGTTATGTTTTCAGACATTCATCTCTGGATGAAGGTCCTATTGGACTTCTCAGATGGACATAAAAAGATCATATGGCACTATTCAAAACAGGGGAATTCTCCCTGCCATCATGCCCCATATTGTATCCATCAACCAACATCTTCTAATTCTTGTACGGGATGTGAGCAGTGCAGGCTGGACCAGTATTTAATGTCCTTGAACTAATTGACTTTCCAGGCCAATTGCTGTGCGTCTCGAGTCACATGTAGGCCAGACCAGGTCAGCACAGCAATTTCCGTCCCTAAAGGGCATTCATGAACCAGATGGGTTTTTACAGCAATTGAAAAGAGTGACATGTTGCTATTAGACTAGCTTTTAATCCCAGATTTTTTTTTATTAAATTCAATTTCGGTATCTGCCACTGCAGGATTTGAGCCATGGTCCCATAGCATTAGTCTAGGACTCCAGATTACTAGTCTGTTATGTCACCACCTCCCCAAAATAAATCATCCTATCATTTACATAAATTAGTTGCCATATTTCCTACATTTTAAGAATGACTACACTCCAAAGTACTCAATTGACTAAGTTCTTTGGGATGTCCCGGATTGTGGAAAGTGTGCTTGAAATGCAAGTGATGCTAATTTAAGAGATTCCTTGGCCGTTTTGTTAAAAGATGAGATTTTCTGATCTATGGCCATTTAATAGGCATTAATATATTTTTTAAGACCCAACCAAATGTATGTCTTGATGCATGTGTTGTGCTCTAGTTTTTATCAGATGGGTATGCAGCACATCTATCCCAGCTGGAGTATAGCCATCGATCCAGTCCTCCTAAAAGTAATTCCAGAATGGTACTGCGCAAGGGCAGCTTCGGGCTATCTGGGCAGACAGACTTCCTGAGGAAACGGAACCATCTGCTGCGCACTATCTCCAGCCACCAAACGGCATCCACAGCCCCAAAGCCTGAGCGGACACATAGCCAGTCTGACAATGAGCGAGATCGAGATAAGGAGCGTAGTCAAAGGAGCATGAGCATCACTGCAGGATGCTGGGGTCGCACAGGCATGTCAAAACTGGAATCTGGTGTTTAACAGAAGGTGCAAGACTCTGGGAAGAGGTGGCAAGTTGGCTTCAGGGAAATGGGTCAACATAACAAATGAAATATCTGCTGCTGGCATAAGCATTGAAGCAAGCACTGCGGGTAAAATGGGTACCATGGTGCTAATGAAAAGATACTGAAGATGTAAATTCATTGTATTTGGTGTGAACTGCAGGCCTTAACAATGCAGTGTTGCATTTGTGGAACACTAGCTGAAAAGTTAACCTTCTTAGTCATAGAGACATAATTCAAACTTTTAGACCCTGCTTAATTCTGCATCTTTTCTATTCAGGGTGCGGCAATGACTACTGTAAATATCCACGCCTCCTATCCACAATAACTTCTGATAAGTTTAATTCACTAGGTTTCTGTTGCTGACCTGACATTTTCCATATGTTTTCTTGAAATTCAGCAGGAACATCATGTAAGATTAGCTGTGATTTTTAATGCAGTTTAACTTTATTAGCTTGATACTGTAAAACCTCAGTTTTTGCACTGATTAATGTTAGATTGGAATTCTGTTACTATTTTGTGTCATTGCATCATCCCTCTTAGTGCATGATAGGAACTTCACATTAATATCAGAATAATCTTCTTGTGTGTAGGTTGTAAACTTGTGAGGATTCAATCCAAGGCATCTTGCCAAATTGCAGATTAGAATCATCCACATGGAAACGTTGGCAGTGTTTAAGAAAAACTTGGTTTGTTGAATGACAATAAGAAATTTAATAGCATCCAGAGGAGCAGAATCCATTTCTGCAGTGACGAAAGATTAATTGTAAATTAGATCTTTTGCCAAACGTTCGATAAATACAATTGAAGTTGGTGCTTCTGTGATGATCTGTTTCAGTGATTTAGTTTAAAAGTCTGTTGACAGTTGAATTTGCATTGCTGCTACGCAGAGGAGATGAGAATCTAATTCAAGCACAGACTGTAATTCCCACTTGAAGCAGGAGGAAGAATGCAGCACGTGATTAAAATGTGTGATGAAAATTCTAGTGTTGGTCTTTAGGGTTTAAATGATGGTCATTTGTCAAGTGTGCACTGACCCAGAGGGTCGAGAACAAGTAGGTGTTGTAATTTTGTAATTACAGTGCCAGATGGCGATAGGTTAAAGAAAGTATGAACAGAAGATGTGAACAAAGATGCTAAGTTGACAGTTCTTTTAGCTTCCATCTGTTTTATAGACAGATTAATTTTCTGTTCATTAAGTAAGACTTTTTTTGCATATTCACATTGTTAGATTATCTTACAAGTGCATGACAAATACCTTGGTTTTATTCGAGCTGACTCAAGAAAACTACTGTTAAGTACCGGTGATTCTCACATGTATATAAAATATACATCAGAAACAAATGAGTTCTGCGTTGCTACAGATTTTTAATACAGTTGGTGTAAGTCATTTGTTGAGATCACGTTTTTAAATATAGGTCAACCCATGTGCTTCCGATAACAAAAGCTTGAGTGGTTAGGGTTGATAGTTTATTTTCAGTTGTCACATTTTGGTGTGTGCATTGTTTGTGTTGGGGTGAGGCTTGAGGGCAGAACTGAAAGTCTTTAACTAGTCTCCAGTCTTTGAAAATACCTGACTCTTGATTTTACTTTAAAGGAGGAGAAAGAGCTAACCTCAACATTCCTCACAACAACACTACAGGTAATCAGAGCAATTCACAAAGCCAGTTCACTGAGTAGCTTCCTGATAATTTGTCAGGAATATAAATTATCCCTCTCTCATCATCGGTATCTGCAGTTCTCACCATCTGCAGGCCCGCCTCTACCCAGTACTACTTTTAAAAACATTCTCCAGGAGGCAACTGAGTGAGTTTGATGGAACTCTTCTTCCTAAACTCTATAATGTGTTGGGGAGGGGAGGGACCTAATTATGTTCAGGATTCACTTGCACCTTTCTGTACTGCAACACTATGTTCTTCCAAATTGCTATAACTGCACGTATTTTCACCTAAATTAAGAACTGTTCCAGATGGGTGAATAAGTAATATTTTCCTGTTATTGAAATGTTTGTCCATTTATTTAGTATTGGATGCTGTTACATACAACCATCCAGGTCGATCTAGTTAATCATTAAAAGGCAATCAGAATGGAGATGATTTTTGGCAAATCCCAAAACTCAGCACACAAGAAAGGTAAACCATATAACAGATGCACCACATAGAGGGATGTTGGAAATGTTCTGTAATAATATGTGTGTAGATAATGTAAAGCAAGATATGTAAATGTAGGTCTAAATAAGGCAAGAGGTATTTATTTGTGTAGATAAATTGCAGGAGTTGACAAATGCTTCATATTTTATTAATATTTGAAACTTTGAATTTTGTTTTGAACATTATATATGAAAAATTATTTTATGGACCAAGAAGAATTTTACTGCCATTGCACAAGTGCAATATACAACCACTATTCGTAATTGGTAATCATGGCATTGACAATCAATGTAATGGGTGGATTGGAATAAGTGTGACCTTTTGGTGACTCCCAGCTAAAACATCCATTCTCTTCCCTCCTTTGAGAGATATGGAACTTGGTACCTTGAGTTTCAGAATATGGACCTGATTTTTATACTGGAATAGAATTTACAATGCTAGTGTGGCAACCAAAGCTGCCAAGATGTGCCCTACTGAATAAACCCTGAACTGCATGCATTTCACATTGGGTAATACCTTCCTTTGCTTCCAATTACAAACAAAACCGTTTTGTAATTGGTTACTTTCCCTGAATAATTTGAGATGTTGATATTTTCATTCTGAATCTGTTAGACCCTTGTTTTGAAGCTGCAGAATTCCATTGGTCCCAGAGCTGAGGCAAATACCAAATATTGTTTGTGTTTATATTTCAATCTGAAGCAGAGAAATATCTGAGGCCCTGATCAGAATTTACTTAAATTTCCTCGCATCCCTTCTCTACAAGGCAGGCACTGATCTCATGGTGTCACCATGATTTGTACGATGCTTCGGAAGTCTGCTCTGAATCTCCATTAACTGTTGGAGGTGGTGGATGTGCCTTGCTAAGAACCCATCAGAGATGTATATCCAGATCTCCACCATCAAACATACGAGATTCAAGAGGCAATTAATTTCTCGGCACTCCTACATAATGCAGTTACCAATTTGTAATTCTGGTTATTGACACAAATTATAGCACATATCTCAGAAAATCTTGTGGAAAAATATAATTCCAGATTACGAAGCCTATTTATTACATTGATATTTTGATTTCAGGCCGTGTAAAGTTGTAGTTGACACAGAGGGTTAATCACAGGTTCACACGCTTGCTTTAAAAATGCAGTTAGCTATTCAGTGTTGACTGATTTACTTACAGTAAACTTAGATACAGCATTGCTAGAGAAATAAGTCCTCTGGCCAAAGCTCAGAAGTAATCTCATGCAGTCCTGAGCAATGCATAGTAGACAAACACAATGGTACACGTTTCTAGTGCACTGTACAACTCACCAAAGGGTCACTAATAAATCCAGCTACACCCTTCACAAGCGTGTGAACACTTGGTCATCTTGCTGTTGAAAGGTAAGACAACTTGCTGCATTTAAGCATTAGCTGCTGAAGCCTCACAGCCACTGTTCTGTGCAAAATCCATGGATATATTGATAACTTTGACAATAATTTTTTATTCAGAAGTGTTTGTTATATTTTATTTATAGAAATGTTACATATAAACGCAAGTTAAATATCACAACTGAAAACTGTGTACAATTTGTTCAACTTGTTAAATAGCTGAACACCCTAAATTAATTAAAGACTATATTAGATTTAAGCTGCTGCCATGGGTCTCCATTCCTTAGATATTGGTTCATCGTCTGTAGAGAGAGAGACCTTTTACAATCTGTTCACTTGTATGTAAACACTCCACACTTGCACAAATTTCTACTTCTGGTTGCTGTCATGCATTGTTATGCCTGGGTGTGCTTTTGTGGATAATTGTATGTTATATGGATTAAATGAAATTGGGACAGCGTTAAATTTCTTTGTGTTTCATTTATTACTTCTGATTTCAGTGTGGACCAATTGACCAACATGTTCTCAGAAAGAAAAAAAATACTAAAAGAACTGTGGATGTTGGAAATTGAAACAAAAACAGAAATTGTTGGAAAATCTCAGCAGCACTAGCAACATTTGTGGACAGAAATCAGAGTTAATGTTTCAGGTCCAGTGACCCTTCTTAAGAACTTTGTTACTGGCACAGTGGCACCACAAGGTGAGCAGCAGCACTTGGCACCAATTAAGACCAACTGAATGTCACTGCACTGTTACACAATGCAGTTATGTGGAGATACCAGTTCTTAATTCTGTTGTTGACACAAATTATAGGATGTTATTTTAGCCTCAGACTGATTTTACTTAGTTCTGAAGAAAGGTCACTGGAATCAGTGTTAACTCTGCTTTCTCTCCACAGATGCTGCCAGACCTGCGTTTCTCTGGCAAATTTCTGCCTTTGTTACATATTTCAGCATCCACAGTTCTTTGTTTTATTTTAGCAATTTAGTGACCATTTTGTGTAGAAACATCTTTGGCTCTGGCACTTAGTAATGAATGTAAGAGTTTCATGCTATAACTGAGACTTGGTTGAGGGAAGGGCAAGATTGGCAACTAAATATCCCAGGATATAGATGCTTCAGGCGAGATAGAGAGGGAGGTAAAAGGGGTGGAGGAGTTGCATTACTGGTCAAAGAGGATATCACAGCTGTGCTGAAGGAGGGCACTGTCGAGGACTCGAGCAGTGAGGCAATATGGGCAGAGCTCAGAAATAGGAAGGATGCAGTAACAATGTTGGGGCTGTACTACAGGCCTCCCAACAGCGAGCGTGAGATAGAGGCACAAATATGTAGACAGATAATGGAAAGATGCAGGAGCAACAGGGTGGTGGTGATGGGAGATTTTAATTTTCCCAACATTGACTGGGATTCACTTAGTGTTAGGGGTTTAGATGGAGCAGAATTTGTAAGGATCATCCAGGAGGGTTTTATAGAGCAGTATGTAAATAGTCCAACTTGGGAAGGGGCCATACTGGACCTGGTGCTGGGGAATGAGCTTGGCCAGGTGGTTGAAGTTTCAGTAGGGGATTACTTTGGGAATAGTGATCACAATTCCGTAAGTTTTAGAATACTCATGGACAAAGATGAGAGTAGTCCTAAAGGAAGAGTGCTAAATTGGGGGAAGGCCAACTATAGCAAAATTTGGCAGGAGCTGGGGAATGTGGATTGGGAGTAGCTGTTTGAGGGTAAATCCATATTTGATATGTGGGAGGCTTTTAAAGAGAGGTTGATTAGAGTGCGGGATAGAAAGAGCAAGATTAGGGAACCATGGATGACAGGTGAAATTGTGAGACTAGCAAAGAGGAAAAAGGAAGCATACATAAGGTCTAGGCAACTGAAAACAGACGAAGCTTTGGAAGAATATCAGGAAAGTAAGACCAATCTGAAACAAGTAATTAAGAGAGCTAAAAGAGGTCATGAAATATCTTTAGCAAACAGGGTTAAGGAAAATCCCAAAGCATTTTATTTGTACATAAGGAGCAAGAGGGTAACTAGAGAAAGGGTTGGCCCACTCGAGGACAAAGGAGGGAAGTTATGCGAGGAGTCAGAGAAAATGAGTGAGATTCTTAATGAGTACTTTGTGTCGGTATTCACTGAGGACAGGGACATGATGGATGTTGAGGTTAGGGATAGATGTTTGATTACTCTAGGTCAAGTCAGCGTAAGGAGGGAGGGGAAGTGTTGGGTATTCTAAAAGGCATTAGGGTGGACAAATCCCCAGGTCCGGATGGGATCTATCCCAGGTTACTGAGGGAAGTGAGAGAGGAAATAGCTGGGGCCTTACAAGATATCTTTGCAGCATCCTTGAGCACGGGTGAGGTCCCGGAGGACTAGAGAATTGCTAATGTTGACCCCTTGTTTAAGAAGGGTAGCAAGGATAATCCAAGTAATTACAGACCGGTGAGCCTGACGTCAGTGGTGGGGAAGCTGCTGGAGAAGATACTGAGGGATAGGATCTATTTACATTTGGAAGAAAATGGGCTTATTAGTGATAGGCAGCATGGTTCTGTACAGGGAAGGTCATGTCTTACCAACTTGATAGAATTCTTTGAGGAAGTGACAAAGTTGATAGATGAGGGAAGGGCTGTAGATGTCATATACATGGACTTCAGTAAGGCATTTGATAAGGTTCCCCATGGTAGGCTGATGGAGAAAGTGAAGTCACATGGGGTCCAGGGTGTACTAGCTAGATGGATAGAGAACTGTGACCAGTGGTGTTCCACAGGGATCCGTGTTAGGACCACAGTTGTTTGTGATATACATAAATGATCTGGAGGAAGGTATAGATGGTCTGATTAGCAAGTTTGCAGATGACACTAAGATTGGTGGAGTAGCAGATAGTGAAGGGGACTGTCGGAGAATGCAGCAGAATATAGGTAGATTGGAGAGTTGGGCGGAGAAATGGCAGATGGAGTTCAATCCAGGCAAATGCGAGGTGATGGATTTTGGAAGATCCAATTCAAGAGGGAACTGTATGGTAAATGGAAAAGCTCTGGGGAAAATTGACGCACAGAGAGATCTGGGTGTTCAGGTCCATTGTACCCTGAAGGTGGCAACGTAGGTCGATAGAGTGGTCAAGAAGGCATATGGCATGCTTTCATTCATCGGTCGGGGTATTGAGTACAAGAGTTGGCAGGTCATGTTACAGTTGTGTAGGACTTTGGTTCGACCACATTTGGAATACTGCGTACAGTTCTGGTCGCCACATTACCAAAAGGATGTGGATGCTTTGGAGAGGGTGCGGAGGAGGTTCACCAGGATGTTGCCTGGTATGGAGGGCGCTGGCTATGAAAAGAAGTTGAGTAGATTAGGATTATTTACATTAGAAAGACAGAGGTTGAGGGGGGTCGTGATTGAGGTGTACAAAATCATGAGAGGTATAGACAGGGTGGATAGCAAGAAACTTTTTCCCCAGAGTGGGGGTCTCCATTACTAGGGGTCACGATTTCAAGGTGACAGGGGAAAAGTTTAAGGGAGATATGCGTGGAAAGTTCTTTACCCCAAGAGTGGTGGGTGCCTGGAACGCGTTGCCAGCGGAGGTGGTAGAGGTGGGCACGATAGCGTCATTTAAGAAGTATCTCGACAGATACATGAATGGGCAGGGAGCAGAGGGATACAGATCCTTGGAAAATAGGCGGCAGGTTTAGATAGAGGATCTGGATCGGTGTGCCAAAGGGCCTGTTCCTGTGCTGTAATTTTCTTTGTTCTATTAGTCACTGTAACTACTGCAATTGAATCAGGGTCGATTTCAGTGTAGCCATAAATAACTGCACCTCTCTAGAGCTAAGTCTGAGAGTTCAATCTGCACCCGTCCCCTAGTGCGCATACTGAGTTGGTTGAGGGACAGTTGGTCTGACAATCGTTTAATCATGTTCTTCAAAGGAATTGCTGAGAGAAACAGCTAACTGTTCTAAAGCAGGCTTCACATTCTCAGAAGACTCTCGTAAAAGTTCCCCTTGTCTTTTCTGGGACAAAGCAGCCAATTTGTATAAATCCAGATTCCACAAACAGCAATGAGATTAAGGATTAATTAAACTGGTTTTGACACTATTGGCTGAGGGCTGTGTGTTTCCAAGTAATAGGCAGAACTCCTTTTATATTGTAAATGCCATTGAAGCTTTTACAAAGACTCCAACAGGAAAGAGGGGCCTTAGTTTAACACATCATCAAAACGATAGCACCATCAGCAATCCAGCACTCCCCCAGCAGTACATGTGATTAAAATATACCAGGATACACTTGTGTAGTGATTATGTTACAAAGCTAATACAGACACCAAGATTTCAAATCTAAAAACACTCACAAAAACCCAAACAGTTGACTAATGTCTTTACGCAGTCTGGCTCAATGTAATTCCAAAATCACAAGAACACAGTTGTCTCTTAACTACCAAGGTGCTTGGTAGTTATTACAGCTTTCTAGCAGTGCTCACATCCTAAGAATGAAGTTAACAATGTACGTTTAATTTGTCACTGCTTTCTAATGAATACCTTTAAATTGAAACCAGACTTTAGAACCAGTCTGAGGTCTGCAGCGATCATAAAATGACTGAAGTTGGCATCGAGTATAATGGAGAGTGAATGGATTCAAGACAATAAATGAATTAGGTTTATTGTCACATGTACTGCTGAGTACAGTGAAAAATTTTACACCACCACTTATGGCACCATCTTAAGTATTGATTCTTGAGTACTTAGGAAATTCTTAGGAGGAAAAATAAACAAAGAAATAAAAAGTTCAGAATAACAGTCCTTCCACATGATATTACAAATAAACAAAAAGAGAATTTACAATGAAGTCCTTCTTAGTCCACGTCACATGGACAATTAGTAATAGAAAAAATGAACTGGCAGATGAACTGAACAAATAGATATTTTGCATCTGTTTTCACCAAGGAGAGTAAAACTAACATTCCAGAAATAATTGTGAATCAGGAGAAAGAATGAACTTAAAAACAATTACGATCATCCTAGGGTCTTAAAAGAAAAAGTTGCTGAGACAGTGGATTCAGTAGTTCTAATTTTCCTAAATTCAGGAACGATTCCATCAGATTGGAAAATAGCAAATGTACCTCCTCTGCCCAAGGGAGGCGGGCACTAGAAAGCAGGAACCCACATGCAATTGTCCTAATATATCAGGAAAAATGCTGAGATCCATTGTTAAGGAGGGTATAGCAGTTGGCCGGATGCCTAGTTTGTGATGCCAACAGTAAGTTCAATTTCTGCTGAGGGTACTATGAAGGACTCTCCTCCTTAACCTCATCCCTCACCTGAGGCATGGTGACCCTCATATTAAACCAACACCAGTCATCTCTCTCTAATGAGAAAGTAGCCCCGTGGTCCAGTATCTTTTGTAACTTATAATCATTTACAGGATGATACCTGGAAAATCACCGTGAAATCAGGAAGTTTTGACCAATTCATCCGAGATATTTGAGGAACTTAAATTTGGTGTCCTTGGATTTCCAGAGGCATTCAACAAGGTGCAGATTATAGGTGGTGGTAACATTATAGCACATGTAGAGGACTATTTAACTAATAGAAAGCGAAGAGTATGTATAAATGGGTCATTTTCAGTTTGACAAAACTGTGATGAATGGACAGCTACAGGAATCAGTGCTGGGGTCTCAAGTATTTACAATCGCTCGCTATTATTTGGATAAGCAACTAAATGAATGCTACTTTTGTGTCAACAAATTTAGTAACCAAAGTAAGTTGTGAGGAAGACAAGTCCACAAAGGAATATGGACAGGTTAACTAGGCAAAATTTTACCAGATGCAATATACAGTAGGTGTACCTTGTTCATTTTGGCAGGAAAAATAAAAATGCAACATTATTTAAATAGAGATTAAAGAACATTGCTCATTTGATGGATATGGCAGTCGTGTACATGATACTTGCTACACCTGCATGCTGATTCGGAAAGCAGACGGAATATCAAAATAGGGAACTTCTGCTACTGTTGTACAGGACATTAGTGTGACCACATCTGGAGTACTATGTATGACTAGGTCATAATTGCATTACAGACAGCTTAAAGGAGGTTCACTCCACTGATTCCTGAAATGAAAGTGTTATCTGACAAAGAAAACATGGACAGGTTGGACCTGTATTCATTTTTGTTTGGGAGAATATGAGATCCTGAGAGGACTTTACCAAAGTGGATATTGAAAAGATCGTTCCCATTTAGAGAGAACCTGGAAAGAGGGAACACAGTTTAAAATAAATGCTTTCCTACTCCTCTGATGCTGCTTGGCCTGCTGTGTTCATCCAGCTCTACACCCTGTTATCTCAGATTCTCCAGCATCGGCAGTTCCTATCTCTTAAAATGAAAGTCTTGTGTTTGCGACAGAGATGAGGCTTTATTTTTCTCCAAGGATCATGGAATTCTCTTCCCCAGAGAGTGGTCCTTGAACATTTTTATGGATAGATTCTTACCTTTTTGACTCCCTTATTAGCTACTAGGTCCAGCAAGAAAGTGGAGCCATGATCTTATCAAAATAGTGAAATAGGCACAAGGGGCCAAATGGCCAACTTCTCTTAATTTGTATGCTTTCTTCTTAATTGCTTCAAATTACCTTGCAATATCGTGGTGGTGGGGGTAGCATATATCCATTGAATTAACTTGTAACATCCACTGCGTCTGTGTAATTTACTAACAGTTTCAAATTCATTGTTTTACAATCAGCACAACCAATTCTAGTGATTGATTTATGCCATTTGGAAGCTGAAACTTATTTTACAACACAAAGAATAAACTGCACCACAATTTATTAAAAGTTGTCTTAAAAAATTCTAAATTGTAGCACATATTTGAGTTGAAAACACTAATCTCAAAGACTTTCATCTCCAATCACCTTTGATTTAGGCCCATTCTCATCTGGAAAGTGAATCCATCCCCCATTGTCGCAAGCTGCAAAATCAAAAAGTTACAATTAGCTTGGATAAACGGTGGATATATAATGGGTGACTAGATAAAGCTGGACAAGATTATGACAGATTCAGTTTAAAGTTAAAAAAACTTCCCATCAGCTGATAGTACGAAGACTAGGACACATTTAAAGTTTTGACCAAGAGATGGAGATGGGGATGGGGGATGAAATGTTTGGAAAATCGTTTTGACACACAGACGTGGTAATGACCTAAACCTTGTGCCTATGAGGGTGGTGGGAGCAGAGAAGATAAATAATCTCAAAAGAAAACTGGATGGGTACTTGAGGGACCTAGATAAGCAAAGCTACAGAGACAGGCTGAAGATATGGAACCAACTGGATTGCTTTACAGAGAACCAGCGTGGACTCAATGGGCTGAATGGCTGTAATACATTATGACCATTCTCCCACAATTTAATGAATCCAACTCCAACAGTCCCTGACTGGAACAGAGTTGAATTGGTTGATAGTTTGTTTTTTTTGTATCAACAACCGATTTTAATCACATCTCATTGAATCTTAACCGAGTTTTCTGGTAATTATTAAATTCCAACCAACAAAACCAAAGATAAAGTTGATTTCTACAAGATTTTCAAAGAAACCTGACATAATTGCCTAGAATTCCAGTGAGATTCTTCTGTAAGGTTGTAGTTGTCTTTTTAACCTTCACTCCTTACTATTCTCGCATAAAAACACACACCCCTATATAAATATACCCAAAGACCTCTACACACACATACAAATATAACCATACACCTTACAGACATTGACATATTCCTACATAGATGTACATGCATTCAAGCAAATCCTTTAACATATAACAAACTAATCTGGCTCCTTGATCTTTGCATTAGATAAAATCACATCTTTGAAATGGAAGGAAGACATTTTGATCCGGAATGAGTGTGTAAAACTTTACTGGCATTCAACAGCCATTTTATGATGGAGAAGTACGATTAGACCAATCAGCCCATTTAGGCTGCTCCGATCATGAGGGTGGTGGAAGCAGAGAAGATCTTATAATCCTCAACTCCACTTTCCCGCCTTTTCACCATAACCCTCGATTTCTTTACTGATTCAGCCTTGAATATACTTAATGACGCAGCCTCAAAAACCGTCTGTGGTAAAGATTTCCACAGATCTCCCACAAGGCAAAACAATCTCTTCACATCTACCTTGTCAAAAATATTCATTTTTCAATAAAATCTCTCATTCTTTTAACATCCAATGAGTACAAGCCCAATCTACTTACCCTTTCCTCATAAGACAATCCCTCCATACCCAGAATAAACCTGGTGAACCTGCTCTGGCCTGCCTCCAATGCCAGTGAGTAGTGCCTCAAATAAAATGATACAAGGCCTTCCTATTTTTATACTCCATTCCCTTTGAAACCAAGGCCAACATTTCATTTACCTTCTCTATTACCCACTAAACTTGGATGCTTGTTTTCTGGACCCCTAAATTCCTCTGTGTTGCAACTTTCTGCCATCTTTCTCATAGAAATATAGGAGCAGGAATAGGCCATTCGGCCCATCGAATCTGACCCACCATTCAATATGACTGTAGCATAACATCATGCTCAATATCCTAATCCTGCCCTTGACCCCCTTAGCCACAAGACCCATACCTTCTTCCTTCTTGAAAACACACAATATTTTGGCCTCAACCACTTCCTGTTGTAAGTGAATCCCACAGGTTCACCCCTCTCTGCGTGAAGAAGTTTCTCGCCTCGGTCCTGAAAGGTTTACTCCTTATCCTTCAACTATGACTTGTGGATCTGGACTCCCACACCATCGGGAGCATCCTTCCTGCATTTACCCTGTCTGGTCCAGAATTCTGTAGGTTTCTCATTCTTCTAAGCTCCAGTGAATATAATCCTAATGGACTCAATCTCTCATCCTATGTCAGCCCTATCATCCCAGGAATCAATCTGGCTAATCTTCACTGCATTCCCTCCATAGTAAGAACATCCTTCCTTAGACCAAAGGAGACCAAAACTGCACACAATATTCCAAGTGTGGCCTTACCAGGGCCCTGTCTAATTGCAGCAAGACATCCATGTTCCTGTACAAGATACAGTTTTTGCCTTCTTCACTGCCTGCTGCACCCATACGCCTATTTTCAGCAGCTGATGCACAAGGAAACCCCAGGTCTTTTTGAACATACCCTCTCTCAATTTACAGCAATTCAACTAATAGCCTGCCTTCCTACTTTGGCTACCAAAGTGGGAAACCTCACATTCATCCACATCGTACTGTATCTGCCCACTCACTCAGCCTGTTCAAATCACACTGAAGCATCTCTGCATCCTCCTCACAGCTCACTCTCCCATCCAGCTGTGTAACCTGCAAATCTTGAGGTATTACATTTATTTCCCTCATCTAAATCATTAATATGATCCCAAAGTACTCCACTAGTCACTGCCTGCCATTCTGATAAAGGCCCATTTATTCCCTGTTTGATAACCAATTATCTATCCATCTCAATATAACCCATGCACTTTCATTTTATATATGACTCTCTCGTAGGACTTTGTCGAAAGCCTTCTGCAAGTCCAAATAAACCACTTCCACTGGCTCCCCCTTGAAGAATTCCAGTAGATTTATCAAGCATGATTTCCCTTCTGTAAATCCATGCTGACTGTTCTGACTCTACCAAGTGTTTTCCAAGTGCTATGCTATAAAATCCTTGATAATGGACTCTAACATCTTCCCCACTACCAACATCAGACTCACTGGTCTACAATTCCCTATTTCTCTCTACCTCCTTTTTAAAATATTGACCTTATTAGCTTCTCTCCAATCTGTAGGAACTGTTCCAGAGTGTATAGAATCCTGGAAGATGACCACCAATGTATCCACCATTTCTAGGGCCATTTCCTTAAATACTCTGGGATGTAGATTTTCCGGCTTTGGGATTTATCAGCCTTCACTCCCATCAATTTCACCAGCACCGTTTCTCTACTAATACAGATTGGTTCCAGTTCCTCCCTCTCAGTAAACCCCATGTTCCCCATCATTTCTGGGATGTTATTCCTGTCCTCCTTTGTGAAGACAGAAGCAAAGTAAGAATTTAGTTCATCAGCCATTTCTTTGTTTTCCCATTATAAATTCCCTGTTTCTGACTGTAAGGGACATAACATTAGCTTTCACCAATTTTTGTTTTACTTGACATACTGATAGAAACGTTTACAGTCGGTTCTTATGTTCCCTGTAAACTTACTCTCATACTCCATTTTCCCTTCTTAATCAATCCCTTGGTCCTCCTTTGCTGATTTCCAAACTGTTCATAATCCTCAGGTCTATTGTTTCTTCTTGCCAATTTGTAAGCCTCTTTTTTGCATCAAATACTATCTCTAACTTCCCTTGTAACCTATGGTTTGGCCACAGTTCTCCTTGCATTCCTGTGACAGAAAGGAGTAAACGATTTTTGTAGTTCATCCATCCTGTCTTTGAATGTTTGCCATTGGCCTATCCCTGTCATTCCTTTCAGTAACATTTCCCAATCCATCAGGCCCAACTCATGCCTCATATCAGCATTGTTTCCCTTATAAAGATTCAAGACCCCAGTCTCAGAATCAAATTTACTCTCTAGGCTGAAGAAGAATTCTATCATTCTCTATTTAAACAATATTCAGCTTTTCTATTCTTCCTGCCAAAGTGCATAACCTTACATTTCTCCACATTCTATTCCATCTGTTAAGTTTTTGCACACAATTTTAACCTGTCTATATGCATCTACAGACTCAGTGTGTCATCCCCACTATTGTTCCACTTATTTTTAACTGACTGCAACTTTGCTGGCTCTCAAACCTTTCTCTCTAATTTATAGAGTCAAAGAGTCAGACAGCACGGAAACAGACCCTTCAGTCCAACTCGTTCATGCTGACCAGATATCCTAAATTAATCTAGTCCCATTTGCCAGCATTTGGCCCATATCCTCCAAATCCTTTCTATTCACGTACCCATCCAGATGCCTTTAAAATGTTGTAATTGTAACAAACCTCCACCACCTCCTCTGGCAGCTCGTTCCATACATGTTCCTCCCTCTGTGTGAAAAAGCTGCCCGTCAGGTCCCTCTTAAATCTTTCCCCTCTCAAGTTAACCTAAACCCTCTAGTTTGGACTCCCCCTACCCTGGGAAAAAGACCTTGGCTATTCACCCTATCCATACCCCTCATAATTTTATTACATCTATAAGGAACTCTTGTCCCCTGTCATTTGATTTTAACACACAGAATTTCCCCTTTAAAAGTAATTATGTAGATGTTTAAATCAATTTGTTCAATGTTGTTATGACACATCTCTGAAGCAGGTGGGACTTGAATTCAGGTGGGACTTGAATTCAGGCCTTCTGGCCCTGAGCTAGGGACACTATCACTGCACCGCAAGATCCTTTAGAAGTTATTAGATATTCTGCTTCCCAAACTCTTTCCAGTCACACATTGAGCCCTGGCAATCTGAGTACCAAATTCTAACCACTCCCTTAACAAATCATTAGAAATAACTTCTCCATATTTATCAAAATCTTGCACATTTTGAATTCTTCTATCCGATTTCTTAACGTTCTCTATTTTAATGAAGTTGTCTAGTTTATATTGTGTCTTATTCTTGATAATCAGTGCCCACTCCATGACTGCTGCACTCTTCCTAAGTAGAAACTTATTGGAACAATTGGACCTAATTGCAATCAAACAATTTTTAAAATCGAAATAGAAAGCGAAACTGCTGGAGAAACTCAGCAGGTCTGGCAGCATCTGTGGAGACAGAAACAGAGTAGCACTTTTTCTCCACAGATGTTAGAAGATCCAGTGAATTTCTATGGGAGTGGGTTAGACAGTTTGTTTGTGATGCAGAGTGACACCAGTGGCGAGGGTTCAATTTCTGCACTGGCTGAGGTTACCATGAAGGTCTCTCCTTCTCAATCTCACCCCTTGTCTGAGGCATGATGACCCTTAGGTTAAACCACCACCAGTCGCCTCTCTCTAATGAGAGAGCAGCCCTATGGTCTGGTAGGACTATGATAACTTTATCCTTTACTGAGTTTCTCCAGCACTTCTTGTTTTTCCTTCAGATGTCCAGCATCTGTGGACCTTTGTTATATTTTAATTTTTTTTACAGCTTTAACATTAACTTTTTGCTTTTGTACCCAAAGCCAACTTAGGATCCAATTTTTTACATACTTTACCAATGTATCATAATATCAGAAAATATGACAAGATTTTCAAAGCAAACCTTCTACCTTTAAGAGATCTAAGGAAAGGTGGTGATGGTCTGGATTACACTGTCTGGGGAGGTGGGGGGGTGCATTGGTAGAGGTGAGTTATCTCACATCCTTTAAAAACTACCTGGATGTGCACTTGGCACATCATAACATTCTGAGCTATGGGCCAAGTGCTGGTAAATGGGATTAGGTTGAAGATCAGATGTTTCTCACATGTCTGTGCAGACCCAATGGGCCAAAGGGCCTCTTTTGCACGGTATGATTCTGATTCCCTAAAACCTTAAACATGGGGTTACCACTCAAGTTCGTGTATCTCTTTGGACACGAGCACAATCATTATTCACATTCATAGATACATGCAGAAACAGGAGGAAAGCATTCATCCTGTATGTCATTCAGAAAGACAATAGATCAGCTGCACCTTAACTATGTTTATGCAACTTTGCTTTATAATCTCTTACAAACAAAACTCTACCAATCTTAGTTTTGGAAATTGGAATTGTGCCCCAACATCCACAGGCCTTACAGGGGAGAGTTCAAGATTTTCACTTCTCGCTTTGAAAAGTGTTTTCTGATTTCCTCTCTAATAATTAGCATTAAACTTAAGGTCTGCTCCTTGTTTGGGATTCTCACAACAAAACGAAATTGTTTCTCAGTATTGACTCTATTGAATTCCTGACCATTTTAAGCATTTCACTGAGATAGTCTGAGGTTAAAGTAGTCCACCTTAATCTTCTAAAGTGAAGGGAATACAGGTCCAGTCTATACAAATTATTTAAACTCTCTTAGCCCTGTAAAGATTCTGATGAATTTGCACTTCAGTCCGGGGCCAAGATATCTTTCACCAAATTAACTTTCAGTTAAATACAAAACAGTTTGTGTATCCTCTCCTTCAAGAGATGCCAGATGCTAAGACTTGTTAATTTCCAAGAGTCATGAACCAAGATGGGTAAACAAAAAGGTTGAATAAAGCTCTCCCGATCCTTTGTTCTACATCACAGCTGTGGAGTACAAGTAACCTGCTGGCCAGTTGAGAGAATAGAACTTCAACTTGCTCCTCATCTGACATCTTTACTCAACTGTAAAGTTTACTCAGGGCTACTTTGGAACAAAAAGGTGAGATACCGTCCAGCAGCAGGTACATGTATTGATGACCAAGGACATGAGAAGGGATGCTTTTGTGGGAAATCTTTTAGCTGACATCACTCCAGAATTTCCCAAGAGGATATCCACAGGGAGTTCTACTATAAAACTGCAAGAGTTAAAAGAAGGAAGAAAAACTCAACTCACTGAAACAACTCTCTGTTTGCAATGAAAGTGATTATCAAGATCTCACTCAAAATGTCCTTCAGAAAAATTCAAGCTAGGAGCTTTCTTTTACCTTATTTATTTCTTTGTGTCTCTCTCTGCTAACAATTTCTTCCAGAACTTCACCATCACCTTTAATAACCCTGCAAAGTGATTTAAAATACAAGTTAACACATTTTCTTAATTTTTAGTTTTTATGTTTGTAATAAAAGCAGCATTATTACCCGTTCAAAGAAAATCTTCACTCTAACGCACGGAGACCTGTTGATGAATGCACGCAGCACAGAAAAATGTGTTTCCATTATCAATCAAGCATAATCTTATTGGTTATGTGACAAGTACAGGAGTGCCACACAGTGTGTATGAGTAAGGCTGATATTTCCTTCACTGTTCGGTTTATGGGTTAGCTGTGGCTTACTTGGCAGCGCTAATGTCTCTAAATTGCAAGGTTCTAGATTAAATCCCATTCCCAGATTTGAGCTCAAAAATCCAGGCAGACCCACCAAAGCAGTACTGATGGAGTGCTACACTATCGGAACTGCCATGTTTCAGATGGAGACTGTAAAGAGAGGCACCAACTCCCTACTTGAGGAAATGTAAGAGATTGCTTAGTATTGTTTCAAAGAAACACAGTGAATTACTGACCAATACTTATCCTTTAATCTATCTGGTCATTATCACATGTGTAATTAGTTTGCAAGTATCCTACACTTCAAAGTGCTTCAATGGTAGACTATAAAACCGTAAGAAATAGGAACAGATGTACGCCATTCAGGCCCTCAAACCTGCTCTGACGTTCAATAGGATCATGGCTGATCTGACATTCCTCACATCCACTTTCCTGCCGTTTCCCTATAACCCTCGATTCCCCGACTGATCAAGAATCTATCTCAGCTTTAAATATCCACAAGGACTCAGCCCCTACAGCTCTCTGTGGCAAGGAGTTCCAAAGACTCAAAACCCTACGAAAAGATTCCTCCTCATGCCAGACTTAGATTGGCGCCCCTTATCCTGAGACTATGCCCTCTGGTCCTCGACTCTCCCATGAGGGGAAACATCCTCCCAGCATTTACCCTGTCAAGCCCCTTAAGAATCTGAAATGTTTCAATGAGATCACCTCTCATTCTTCTAAACTCCAGTGAGGAGAGTCCCAACCTGTTCAACCTTTGATCATAAAATGATCCCTTCATACTAGTGAACCTTCTTTAAACTGCCTCCACGAAAATGAATACTGTCCTTAAATAAGGGGACAAAAACTGCTCACAATGTTTCAGATGTGGTCTCCTCAGCACCTTGTACAGTTGCAGTAAGACTTCCCTGCTCTTATACTCCAACCTCCTTGAAACAAGGGTCAACATTCCATGAGCCTTCCTGATCACCCACTGTCCCTGTGTGTTAGCTTTGTGTGTTTCGGGCTCAAGTTCCTCCAAGTACCTTTGTGTCACAGCTTTGTAGTTTTTCTCCATTTAAATAATATTCTGTTCTTTTGTTGTCCTTCCAAAATAAACAACTTCACATTTTCTCACATTATACTCTATTTGGCAGCTTTTTGTCCACTTACTTAACCTATTGATATCTCTCTGTAAACTGTTTGTATCCCTCTCACAACCTGCTTTTCCACCTATTTTTGTGTCATCTGCAAATTTGATTCCAGTAAGTTCACTTCCTTCCTCTAAGTCAGATGTTATTGGTTGTAAAGTGCTTTGAGACCTCTGGTAGTTGTGAACATATCAGCACAAGTCTTCATTTTAATCTGATCAGCCAAGATCTCACCAAATTACAGAGCAGGCTCAAGGGGCTGAATGGTCTACTTCAGTTCTTATTTGCTATGTTCCAATGTTCTCTATTCTGATTGCATAGCAACGTTTGAGGAAGGATCACCGGACCCGAAATGTTAACTGATTTTTCCTTCACAGATGCTGCCAGACCTGCTGAGCTTTTCCAGCAACTTCTGTTTTTGTTCCTGATTTACAGCATCTGCAGTTGTTTTAGAGTCATAGGGTTGTACAGCACGGAAACAGACCCTTCAGTCCAATTCGACCATGCCAACCAGATATCCTAAATTAATCTAGTCCCATTTGCCAGCATTTGGCCCATATCCCTCTAAATCTCCTCTCTGCTCCTATGATGCTGCTTGGCCTGCTGTGTTCATCCAGCCCTGCAAGCCTCTCTGCTCCTATGATGCTGCTTGGCCTGCTGTGTTCATCCAGCCCTGCACCTTGTTGTCTCGGATTCTCCAGCATCTGCAGTTCCTACTATCTCTCCCTCTAAATCTTTCCTATTCGTGTACTCATCCAGATTCCTTTTAAATGTTGTAATTGTACCAGCCTCTACCACTTCCTCTGACAGCTCATTCCATACATGCACCACCACCTGTGTGAAAAAGTTGCCCTTAGGTCCCTTTTAAATATTTCCCCTCTCATCTTAAACCTGTGCCCTCTACTTTTGGACTCTCCTACCTTGGGAAAAAGACCTTGGCTATTCACCCTATCCATGCCCCTCATGATTTTATAAACCTCTATAAGGTCACCTCTCAGTCTCCAACAGTCCAGGGAAAACTGCCCCAGTCTATTCAGCCTCTCCTTATAGCTCAAACCCTCCAACCCCGCAACATCTTTGTAAATCCTTTCTCAGTTCTTTCAAATTTACCAACATCTTTCCTATAGATGGAGGCCAGAATTGAATGCAGTATTCCAAAAGTGGTCTAACCAATGTCCTGTACTGCCGCAACATGACCCTCCCAACTCCTACACTCAATGAAAACGCCTACTTCACCACCCTGTCTACCTGTGACTCCACCTTCAAGGATCTATGAATCTATTTCCCAAGGTCTCTTTGTTCGGCAACTCTCCCCAGGACCCTAACATTAAGTGCATAAGTACTTCCCTGATTTGCTTTTCCAAAATGCAACAACTTGCATTTATCCAAATTAAACTTCCATGTGTCACGCCTCAAAACATTGGCCCATCTGAATTTGGTCCTGTTGTACTCTGAGATAATCTTCTCACTGACTATTACACCACCGATTTTCATGTCATCTGAAAACTTACTAACCATTCCTTCTATATTTACATCCAAATCATTTATATGAATGACGAAAACACAATAACAATCCTTGTGGCACACAGCTGGTCACAGGTCTCCAGCCCAAAAATCAACCATCTACCACCATCCTCTGTCTCCCACCTTCAAGCCAATTTTGTATCAAAATAGCTAGCTCTCCCTGGATTCCATGTGATCTAATCTTGCTAACCAGTCTGCCATGCTGAACCTTGTTCTGACACTCAATATGATTTTGGCCTATTTTCTATTTCAGCTATGGGCATGTTAACTTTGTGGTAATGTTTTTAAGATTCATAATTCAGTACTCTGGAGTAATGAGACATGAATTCAAAAGTCCCTAAAGCAGTTGAGGAATATCAACTCATTTATTTGAATAAATCTACAATGGAAAGATAGTATCCATATTCGTGCTCCTAATATTACTGGATTGCTGTCAAATCCATCTGGTTCACTAATTTCCTTCAAAGAAGGAGTCCAGATGCATAATAATGTGGTTAACTCTCAACCACACTCTGAAATGGCCTAGAACACAATCCACTCAGAGCATAAATCATAAACAAAAATATTGGACTAACTGCCTTTATCACACTGGACACAAGAAGGCATCCTGTCCAGTCCAAAGTCCTCCTCACCAATGTCTAGGGAACTACACCAAAAATGGGACAGCTATCCCACAGGCTGGTCAAGTAACAGCATGACATAGTCATTTTTATGTTGTACCTTTCAGTCAACATTTTGGTTTTCAAATTGCTCAGATAAGCACAATACAAGAAAGATTTTGAATCAAACCACTGTATTCAGAAAGTTTACCCTGTGTAACCTTCTCAGTTCTACGAGTATCGTACCAATGTCACACATGAGCAACTCCTTTGTGGGAGTATGTCCTGCAGCACTGGGGTCACAGGTCACAGGATTAAACTCAGCTCCCTCTCAGTCGGGGGGAGTGGACACTGCACTCCAATTTGGAATTCCAGGTTGAAGTCCAGTGAATGACTGTCCCACCGTCCTTCTCAAGCTTCATTGGATGAATTATGAGGGGCCATTAATTCCTCTTACCATAAAGAAGTAATTCTCCATCTTGGCTGATATGAAGATGGTCATGATCATGGAAGCTGTGAATTCCTTTATCACGTCACACTGTTCTCCCAAGGAAAAGCGTGAAAAACAAACCTCTCTCTTTAACATTCTTTTGACACACAGATCTAGAAGCAGCAGATACATGCCAGAACACACTAAAAAGTAGAACTCTTTGGATTGAAGTTCAATCAGCTGAGTCCCTCCTTCTGTTCGAACTCACTGCAATCAGTGTGTGGTGAACAGTGCCACCAACTGAAACCACAGTTATTACAGATCTCAATTCTAACTATTTTTTTCGAATTATCTCTGCAGGTTGTGGATTTAAGCTTCAATTATTTCCAAATCAATCATAAAAGAAACACATTTTCTCCAATAAATTCTCCATTCAATTTCCTAAAAAATGCATACACAAAATGTGTTCCTCAATTGTTTTAAAATTACAGATCTTTTGAGGGGCAAATCACTAGCATGCAGAAAATGGATGACAGCTATGATTCTCTACAATGTGGCCTGGAGGTCAGAGTGCTCACTGTGTTTAGTACAGTCACACCAGACACCACCTCAGCAGGGACATTACAGTGGATCTTCAAAACGATGTGAAATTCCACAATATCAAAGGTAATTTTATGAACTGACATCAATTCTATGTAGTTTTTACTGAGCAGCTTGATAATCTTCAAACCTTCACAATAAAATATGAGCACATTAGTTTAATTCACCGACCTTACCTTGACCTGCTCTGGATTAATCCATTAGCTTTACCTTGACCTGCTCTGGGTTAATCCATTAGCTTTACCTTGACCTGCTCTGGGTTAATCCATTAGCTTTACCTTGACCTGCTCTGGATTAATCCATTAGCTTTACCTTGACCTGCCAGTTTCTGGATCCACAACTCGCCGAATGACACTTTGCCTGGCATCCCACTCCTCCTTTGTCATTGGTCGCATGGCCTGAATTCGAGCCTTCTGCTCATCTGTTATGATTAAAAATGACATTAATTAGAGTGAGGCACACGTGTGTGCTACAATGAGGTAAGTAACATGTTTATAACATTTGCTGTCCTTTTCACTTTCACTATTTTAAAGAAAAATTGAAAAGCTGTGACCCAGAATATCAGACGTTTCTCACTGCGGGGAAAAGTGTTGGTACTTTGTGACAGAAGAAAAATATCAAACTTTAATCACGTGAGAAAGAAGCAGTTGAAGAGAAGAATTTGGATGATTCTAAATGCAAAAAAGGAGGTTGCTAATTACTGGTAATTTAAAAATTTCTGTGGTACAGGGTCTTTTATTCATTTTCTTACTAATTTTGAAGAGTTGGTGTTGCTTTCTGGGCCTGCATTTGTTGCTCGTCCCTAGTTGCCCCTTGAGAAGGTGGTGGTGAGCTGCCTTCTTGAACCGCTGCAGTCCATGTTCTGTACAGAGACGCACAACAGCCCTTAAGGAGGGTTTCCAGGATTTTGATCCAGTGACAGTAAAGGAACGGCAATATATTTCTAAGTCAGGATGGTGAGTGGCTGCAGGGTTGGAATTCTGGTGTATCTGCTGCACTTCCTCTTCCCTAGTTGCCTTGAGAAGGTGGTGCTAAGCTAGCCAATTTGCAGTTTGACACAATGCTCACTCAGTCACCCCTTGGTGGTGTGGGATTGGAATCACAGAGATTATAAGGGGGTGAGGGAGGGGCCTTTCCTAAAGGATCGATCCGTGACAATCAGCCACAATCGTGAAGAATGACGGAGCAGGGTCAAAGGGCTGAATGGCCTCCTCCTGTTCCTATCTTCGATGTTTCTTCTATGATAAGTGAGAAGCAGTTGGGCCTCTTTATCTGACTGAAGGATTTTCATTTGATATTTAAAACAAAAATGAAATCAATTCTCAGACAGTGGGTTCTGCCCTCTCACACTCAGGATTGTCTGCTTAGTGACAGCACATGTCTGCTCCCTCTGGTTATAATCATCGTTTGGTTTTTGTTACTGACCTCACACTGCCTGCTTCCAGTGGAAGAAGTCTCAACATTCTCCACGAATTTCTCTTGGACTGATCAGGGAACTTTCCTGCCATGTTGTAACTCTCCCTTCAGTCAGAGACACTCACTGATGTACATTTTACTCGGTCTTTAGCTCCCTTAGTCTTCCACTCCCTCTCTTTGCCCCCACTGTCACATAGATCATGGACTTTCTCTCTCTCCCACATCTACAGCTCGCACTCCAACCCTCTCTCTCTCTTCATTGTCTTACAGATCTTCCTCTGTGGAAGCTCAGTCAAGAACTGATCGAACTTGTACCTGTTGAGAGCTGGCCTGTGTACACATGGAAGTTGGTATTATTGTTTAGGTTTGGATTTGAAACAAAAACAGAATCCAGGAGTTAGACTTGGATAGGCCCAAGCTCAGTCACACCACGTATGTGGAACTTGCTGTTAAAAACAAATTCACCCTTCACCACATGTCCAGTTTTAACTCTGTTAAATGTCTTCAACCAAACAATAACAGAAGCTCCAGACTCCCACTGATGAAACAGTGCTACCTTTTTCAGTCTGCTCCACTTCCAAACTGCTGGTCACTGCCTCACTTGAAATCCTCACATCATCAGGCAGTTCCTGCTTTGTCTTCAGTTTTAAGAGTTTCCTTTTCTCCTTTTTCCTTTTCTTCTTTCTTTTTCTATCTTTGTCTTTCTTCTTTTTTGAACTGTGACTCCTTTTTTTATGCCTTTCTTTCTCTGGTGATGGATGGGAGGATGAAGATGAAGATGACGAGTGACGTTTTGCTTTGATTTTATTCTTTGGTGTAATTAGCTCGGCCTTACTGTGTGCCGGAGCTGAGCTTCGGGAACGTTTGGGAGGAGCTTCTGGGTTTTTGCTGCTTCGTTTCCTTTTCTTATCTTCCTTTTTTCTAACTTTACTTTTTGATCCATGTTCACTCCTTGTTCGCGAATCCTCTCTCGTACGACTGTGACCCATTTTTGTTTGTTCCAAAGATTATATCGAACATCTAAAAGAAAGATGTTGCAGTATTAGTCACCACCTCCTTTGTAAAACATAACCAGATATCCAAGTACTACATTGCATAATGCTAATTGCACTCTAGTGAAATAATGACCATAATCTTAAACATCAGTTTATCAATTTTAGGCAGAAAAATCTGACTCCAAATGCAATTAATAATTCCTAATACATTTTTGTTACTCTATATTCCTGAGTTGAGGGAGTAGAATAAAAGTGAAAACAGTGAAACTCTGTAATGTACTGATTTGATGTTTACTGGTGGAGGGTACAGTATATCTGACCAAACTGGGAGCGTATTTACAACGACATATGAATTAGGAGTAGGACAGGCATTCCTCGAGTCTGCTGCATCATGGTTGATGCGACTCTGACCTCGACTCCACATTTCCACCTGCCACTGGTAACCGTCAAAACCTCTTATTAATCAAAAATCTATCTACCTATGTCTTAAAAATATTCAATGACTCTCACCCCCACCACTCTCTCGGGAAGTAAGTTCCAAAAACTCACGTTCCGCTGAGGGGCAAAAAATTCTTCCTCATTTCCATCCTAAATGTGACGTCTTTGTTCTTAATCAGCGACCCCAAGTTCTCGATTCTCCCACAGAGGGAATCATCCTTTCAACATCCAGCTGGTCAACTCACCTCAGGATCCTATATCTTTCAATAAGGTCACCTCTCATTCTTCTCATCTCCAACTCCAACCCAATCTTTTCTCAAAAGACAAGCCTCCCATCCCAGGTATCAGTCAAGTGAACCTTCTCCTAATTTCTTTGAATAGGTGGGAAGGCAAATGGTGAGAATAACACAGAGTCTGCACAGGGATATATAGAGAGGTTAAGCGAATGGGCAAAACCTCGGCAGATGGAACATAATGTGGGAAAATGTGAGGTTATGCACTTTGACAGTAAAAACTGAAGGCTGAATGGAGGAAGACTGCAGAAGCTCTAGCATAGAGGAATTTGGGAGTCCTCATGTGTGAATCACAAGAAGCTAGCAAACAGCTCAGCAGTTAATAAGTAAGGCAAATGCAATGTTAGCCTTTTTCCAAAGGGAATGGAGTATAAAAGTAAGGAGGGCTTGCTAAAGGTAAACGTCAAACAATACCGGAATATTACAAACAGTTTTGGTCCCATATCTAAGGAAAGACGGCATTGGAGTAAGTCGAGAGAAGGTTCACTAAATTAATCTCAAGTATGAAGGAACTGTCTTCTGTGGAGGGGTCAAGGTGGTTATGCCTGTACCCACTGGAGTTTAGAAAAATGAGATGTTTGAAACAGGTAAGATTTGATTTGACTTCTTGTCGTCACACGAACCTAAGTTTGGTGAAAAGCTTTGTTTTATGAGCAGCACAGGCAGATCATAGCAAGCAAGGATGTACAGATCACAGGGTTCATTAGATAGAGCAAGGCATACAAGGTTACAGCAGAGCAGGAGGTGCACAAAACAAAATCAACATTAGCAAAATCAATATTATTTGAAGTCAGAGAGGTCCTTTCAGCAGTCTAAAGGTCACTAACTCACAGCTTGAGAGCTTGACTGAGTAGGGTTAGGATGCAGAAAGGATTTTTTTTTCCCCTTGTGGGAGTGTTTAACACCAGAGCACAGAAATCAGAATGAGGGGTCACCCTGTTAAGACAGAGTTGATGAGGAATTTCTTCTCTCAGAACGGAGTGAATCTGTGGAATTCTTCACCACAGAGGGATGTCATGGCTGGGTACTTAAGTATATTCAAGGCTGAGATAGACAAATTTTTAATCATTAAGGGAATCAAGGGTAATGGTAAAAAGGCAGGGAAAGTGGAGATGAGAATTATCTTGGTCTCACGGAATGGCAGAGCAAGCTTGATAGGCTGAATGGCCTATTTCTGTTCTTATGTCTTACGGTTGGTTCAACTGCATTTATAGCCTTTCTTAAAATAAGGAGACCAAAACCGTACATAATACTTCAGATGTGATTTCACCAAGGGAGGGCCGCACTGTCATAGGGTCAGCGCTGAGGGAGCGCCGCACTGTCGGAGGGTCAGCGCTGAGGGAGTGGGCACTGTCGGAGGGTCAGCGCTGAGGGAGTG